TCAACGCTATGTTCTAAATCATCTAGTCCATGCTGTTGCTGTTGCTCATGCTGCTGATGCTGTTGATGATGATAATGATGTTGATGGGGATATTGATGTTGTTGATTAGTTTGAAAATTTTGCCAAGTTTTTTGCTCAACATTAGCTGCAGCCGCATTACCTTTACTGGCGCCACTATCTTTACCACTATGTTGCGGTGGCATTGTTGTTGGCGTATTTTCTCCCACCTCGATAACCACATCATCATCGTAAGTATGCGGACTATGTGAGGCTAATACTAAAGGATTATTTAAACCCCATGAAGGTGGATGCAAGTAATGCGGATAATTTGAATAAATTTCAGCTCTTATGCGATCATCGTAATCGTCATCGTCATCATCATCATCATCATCATCATCATCATCGTCGTCATCATTTTCGTTTTCCACTTCTTCATTAACCTGCATCGTTTCCTTTGCAATATTTCCCGTATTCTCACCAATGCCGGCATCTTCATTGCGGCCAACATTATCAGTATTATATGTATGTTGTTGCTGTTGTTGTTGTTGTTGTTGTTTTTGCTGTTCATTCCTGCCATAAGTGCTATCCAAGTTTTTCTCAATGTTATTACTGTTGTGATTTTCATTCTCCGAAAATCCATAACGATGTTGTTGCTGTACATAATAGTTGTTACTAATATTACTGGCGTTGAATTTCTGCTGACGTTGTTGTTGCTGTTGCTTTAACGATATTGTTGTGGTCGTATGAGTTTGCGGTTTTTGATGCTGTTGCTGTTGCTGTTGTTGTTTCTGTTTTTGTTGCTGTTGTTGTTGCTGTTGCTGTTTCTGTTTTTGTTTTTTGATTTGCTTTTGCTTTAGCTGCTGTTTGAAGTTTGGAGTTAAACCATTAGGAAAGAATATTAATCTGTCTGTAATTAAAAATTGTTGCCAAGACAACCATCGAACAACACAGAAATTGGACAGAACAACACCGAAAGAGAAGAAGAAGGAAGAAAAAGGAAAAGAAACCATAACACGATACATAGATTTTGTGCATATTGTGCTGCGATAATTATTGTGCTTTAAAAATATTCGTGTGCAATAATATTGTGAGTTTTATTGTGATACGTTGTGGTTGTGCTTGGGTGTACGTAATTGTTTACGTATATATGTATGCTTGTGTATATGCGCGGGCGTTCGCGTGCTTAGTGCTTTACTAATTTATTATTGTAGTGCTTTTAGTTTTTTACAATTATTGCAACTAAAACATTGACTTTAGTTGATGATTATGAAAATTAAAAAAAAAAAAAAAAATTTCAAGAATTTTATCGTAACTCATAAATTGAAAAGAAAAAAATTTAACAAATTTTATAAAATAAAACTTTTAACCATTCGTAATCACTTGGATCCATATATTTGAATTTCATACCGATTATCGAAAGCTTGGATATGTTATAGGGTTGGCAAAAGAGCAATTGTGATACTCTCTTTGCATTTTTCTACATATTTATTCAGTTTAAAAATGTTCATCAAACTTGAGAAAGAGTTGGAGAGATGGAAAGAAGAAGCAAGGAGAGGAATTGATATTTGAAGGCAAATTAGCGGAAAAGAAGGAAATTCTCCCAACAAGGATTCGTAACTATTTCTATCAACTTGTTCATAGCAGTTATCACAGCTAACATAAGATTCACTAATACCTTTTATTTCCAATCCTTCTCTTGTTCCGAGGGGTTTTAAAATTTAAAAATCTCGTTATTGGAAAGCCAAGCCTGGCACATATTGAAAGACTTTTCCTCAAACATTCTGAAACTGAACAACTAAACTAAAATCCAATTAAATGAAAATTTCCAAATATTTAATCAGTAATCAATCTACGATTCATTGTTAATGCAGATATTCACTTCAATAATCGCCAAGATTTCTTTAAAGCGCGAGACACAAAAGCCCCGAACCGTAGCTTGAAGGCAGTCATTGCTATGATGGATATCCAATGTGGCGAGCCTTAAGCTCAAGCTTTTGCTACCAATTTCGTACTGCCTGCCAAGTTCGATAACATCTAACATTGACCTAAAGGCAAGCCTTTCTTTCTAGATTGGTAAAAACTCAGCAATTCTCCATCCAGGAGACTCAAATACGATTCAATAGAATATGATACCCTTTTATTTCATAACACTTGTCAGGTTGCTATCATCACACTAGGGTGTAATTATCGTTACATAATAAAGTTTAAAAGTTCGTTAATTACTTCGTTCCTGGGAAAAAAAACCTATCACTAACTTATAAAGCAGCAGTAAAAGAAGCAGATTAGAGTAAGAGAATTACATTCGACTACGACTGAATGTTTTATAGCTCACACCTTCATCTTTGACACTTTACTCGTCGTTCGACACTTACATACCGACAGTGATTGTAAATAATAGTTTGGCAGTATTGAGTATTACCCTACAACTAATTACTTTACTATATAAGCATAAGAATAGCGCAGATATTCCGCACGACTGTCTAAACAGAAACAGCATCGACGCCAGGTACAGTCTGCGGACGAGCGGTCGCTTAAAAACCCTAAAGCGCTGTCATGTATGTTTGTGGAAAAAAAGGGGGAAAAACTGGAAATCCCATTTCAATCCTAGAAAATTCCCTGCATATATACGGTTGGCAAGAAAATTGCTTGAGATTTCTTATTAGAAAACTGTTGGAAGAAATAATTCAAATCCTTTTTTTTTCTTTCTTTCTTTAGCATAACGAAGATGTTGATCTAAGCCTCTCTCTAAGCCTTTCTCGTTGTGTAGCGTATAAATTACATTTCTAAATATATATAATTAGAAAACTAATTAAATTTTTACATTCTTAATATGTGAAATTTTCCAAAATCCAATGGCTTGTTAGACAATTTCGCTGTGCAAAGATAGTGAAGGATTGAAGTTAGAAAGGAAAGGCTAGAAGCGGTATTACTTCTGCGTACATATACGTAATTCAGATAAATGAAAAGCATGTATAAATATTGATCTATTGAAGGTTCGACATTTTTTTCATCCAAGTATTCTTAGCACATTTTTAACAAAAAAAAAAAAAAAAAATATTAAATTTAAAAAAAAAAAAATTTAAAAAAAAAAATTATTAAAAAAAAAAAAAAAAAAAAAAAAAACATTTTTAAAAATAGATAAAAACATTTAAAATATTTACAAAGTAAACGTCAGTTTCATTAGTGCTTTCTATTGTAAAACATTTAAAGGTGCATAGCAAGCATCATTTATATTATTTTTCTTCTTTTTATTGATTTGTTTAGTTTTTTTTTTTTTTTTTTGTCTATTGTTTTTGTTTTTATTGTTATTGTTGCTGTATATAGTTGCTTGTTCGTAATTACTATTACATTATATGTAGCTATGTCGGCATTAATATGACGTTACGGGATGGATGTTGGTGTTAACATTTAAATTACATTCTGATATACAATCGAAGCAAATGCTTATAGAGTTCACTACCTTTTTATGTACGTATAGCAATTGCACGGCAAGTGTATAGATTGAATAACGAACGATTAAAAAAAGGTGGAACGTGATGCGTAGCAAAAAAATTTTTTTTTTTAATGCTAAATTGTTTACAACTAATAGGTTTAGATTAATCAATTTGTTGTGAAAGAGTTTTGCTTTGAATTGTGAAAGGAAAGGAAAAGGCTTGAAGGCACAGACAATAGTAGCAGTTAGTTGCAGACACAGAAAGAAACAGAGGCGAGGAAGAGAGAGAAATAGAGAGAGAGAGAGAGAGAGAGAGAGTGAGAGACAGTATGTGTGTGTGAAAAATAAAGTGAAAGACAAAGAATATTTAATGAAAGGGCAGTAAGAGAATTATCCTTTATCCTTATATATATACATACAAAATATATATATATATATATATATATATATATATGCCATAAATATATATATAAGCCATTTTGTAGTTATTTCGTATATTTTATGCATATAAAGGATTTGGTTTTTTTTTTGGGTTTTCTTTATGATGCAGAAGCGTGCGTTGTTGTTGGTTTTTTCTTTTTTTTTTCGTTCTTTTTATTCTGGTTTAAGGCGAGTGATCGAAATGATATTGAACTTGAAAAGAAAAATTTGACAAACTAAAATAAATAAAAATTTTTTAAAAAAATATCAATTTCTAAAAAAAAAAAAAAAAAAAAAAATATATATTAAAAAAAAAACAAAATTGATTCGATTTTTATTTTAATTTTTTTATTTTTATTTTTTAAACACTTTACTAGTCTTACGCAATTGTTTGTTTGTTTGTTTGTTTGAAGTGTCGTTGTTTTGTTATGTTACACTGATGATATAGTTGTTGTTATAAATACTTTTTTATTGTTTTAGTTATCTCTGATTATTGAGTTTGCTTGTTGTTGTTGTTTTTTCTTCGGGTGTTTTTTGTTTTTTGTTCTTTTTTTTTTTTTTTGTGTAGTAAACTTACCCACACACGGATTGTGATTAACTATATTAAATATACGATCACAGCGTTTTTTCATATGATTATTCGGGCATATACAACCAAACATCGGAGATAACCTTAAATTTGTCCATGAATCATGGCAGGCATCTCTGTAAGTAAAAAATGAAAGATAAAAGAAAACAAGATTATTATTATAATTTTTTTTAGACAAGGACTGCTGGCTCAAAAAAAAAAAAAATATATATATATATATATGTATATATTTATTTTATTATTACTATTATTTCATTTCTCTTTCCGTTCATCGAAAAGTTATATAAGAATATGAATAAATTGAAATTTCTTTTCTTTCTTCAGTAAACTTTTTAATCTTCTCTCAGTCATATATAATTTTAATGCATGAGCGTGCATGCCTGTGCTGATATGTAAATTTTGCGAAGAAGAGTAAAAGAAAAATATATAAAATAACTTTAAATTCTGTTTCAATTCTAGACTATTCCCAATTGACTTTTTATGCAATAGGTTTGCATGTCTAAGGTTGGCAAGAAAGTTGCTAACCGTATTCAAATGCAAGTCAATCGATGATTGATCGAATTGAAATGCATCTGTCAGGCTGAAAATTTTCACGTACAGCATTTGACATCAATTACTTTACTTTTACTGATTGGTAGTTAGATCCCCACCAATTTTGCTTATCGCAAAGTAATTACTCTCGTATATAAGTGCAAATAGGAATATTGACTTCTTTCTTTATGGTCCTGTTTTAAAGGCATCCATAATCACCATAAATTCTATCATATATTAGACGCTGTCCTACGCTGCGTGTGTCTGGTGGAAAACTTTTGTGAAAATTGTATAAATTTTTTTCTCGTTTTCTCTGTGGGATAGGACTACACATTTTCCTTACATTATATTTGTTTTTGCGTGCTGCCAAAAGTAGGCTTGAATGATAAAAATCATATTTCTCGACAAGATTTAGGACTAGAACTCCGTAATTTAGCCATACAAGGTCAACTTCATAAGCGATTCAATTAAGTTAATACCACGGCATATTCTGATCGTAGAGTAGTCGAATTCGTTAAAACCTCACGCCACTTATAATCAAAATACTCTTATATAGCAATAACTCTATTCTTTTTACAGCATACGTTTTTCTTAATTTTATAGATGGTCACAACTACGCGGCTCAAATCTTGTCAAAAGATATTCAAAAGATATTCAATTTGCGTAATTTGCAATTGCTATTAAAGCTTGGCATTATCTAATTACGAAATACTAAACTTTCGAACAAATCCGATTACATACATAACGTAACCTCAGCAAAACCAATTGATCTCAATCGTAAAGTTCTTTCACTTAACATTAACATTGGTTTTGAGAAGTCTAATTACCTCACGACGAAATTCTTATAAATTGTTTTTCCATGGAGCCTAACCTCAGGCCCTATCTTCTTAAGTAACCTATGCAGTAATCTATGCAATAATTTGTTAATCTTCTTAGATTGTTGGATAAGTTTCGCAGGGAAATTCTTCTTAGCAATCCTAAAAAGACTAATTATCAAGCCCTTCAGCATCAGCAAGTTGCTAATATTAGATGACACCATGGCTCTTAAGACGTTTAAACAAAAGAAACAGTGACCTAGAAGATTGGTTCTAGATTTTATTTGTCTTTTAAACTATTTCATCATCCTATAATCGTAAAACCTGTTGAAGATACTCTACACAGTTCAATGAGTACAAAATATTTCCTGATTTTCATTCTACTTTATAAACCAAAACAAAGTAACTGACGCTATGGAAAATTTTTACTTAGCTACAAAGAAATACTAAATATTCAATTGAGATCAGGTATTAAAATTCGCCCAAATTATTTCATACTGAAACTATTTCACAGGTATATATAGCCAAGACTCTGGTCAAACAATCAAAGTTGACGGAGAACATATTAAAGACATGATTGAAAATGATCGTCACAACATGTAAAAGCATTGCAGTGGTTCAAGGCCAATCGTTTATCACTCTACATCACTTCGCTTGATAAAGTTACTCTTATAACGAGTTCCCATTACAAAGCGTTATACGGGAAATGATCAAAAAACTGCTCTGATGCGAACCATTTTCACAAGCGCTCGTCCTTGGACTAAAACACGTTGATGTACCAAATCTCATTGAGAAATTTTGAAAATTTCGACCTTTACGTTGAATACAATAATTCAAGACGGAAAAACGAAGAGACACTCTTGGGTCGATCAAAAATCACTTTCCGAATTGATCGTTATGATAAAAGATAGTTTTGTCTCAAGTCTTACTCAGGGTTAAATACATCCGCACAAACTCTTGTACTACAATTACTGTAGGGTATAACTATGAGACAATTTTAGACGATATACGCATACAATAATTGAATATTATTTCTCACTCAAACGTTAGATTGCTCAGCGGAGCTTCCCGTAAATTGAAAAACGAAGAATTTTCTCTGTATGTTAAGCAAATTTAATCATTTTCTAGAGCATATCATCTCTCATGATATTAAATCGAAAATGATCGTAGTGATCTTAGTTAGTTATACATAGTATGTAATAATGCCCATTTGGACAAAGCAGTACATGTCTCACAAGGCAAACAGTTCACATGGCTTCCGAGTACAATAAATGGAATTGTACGCAGAAATTAAAGAAGTATTTATTTCGAGTTTGCAAGTTCAAAAAAAAAAAAAGAAAAAAGAAATTGTATTTCTTCCTATCTTCCCTTCGGGCTTTAATTGACACTATTTCATTATCATTAGTTTCGGGTCTTTAAACGGTTTTCCAAGGAAAATATTGCCCTATTAATGACTATCCGAATGCTCACTTGTTTCAGTTTGTTGCCAGTGACGATGGAAGGATGGAATCGGTGTGTTGTGTAAAAGACGGCAACAGATGATGATCAAGCAGAATATAAAAAATTGGTTGAAATTTCTTCTTCGCCTTAATAAAAATTAATCTTCCACACACACTCAAAACAAAAACAAAAAGCAGAAATTGCTTCTTTGTCAACTCTCTTTCATTCTTTTTGCAATATTGCCGTTTACTTCCTCTTTCCTACTCTCTTCCTCTTCCATTCTGTCTCTACTGCCCTATTCTTATATGCTTTATATTCTGTTTCACTTCCCAAGACTATACTGAAGAACATACACGTACACAATACAGAGAAATGGATTTTAAGGGCCAAAATGAAATAAAACTTCATTAAAATTCTATTACCCTATGCTAACAATTAATATTTTATAACTTGTTTAACATACAATCATTATCGTAGTTTTTCATATGTGGTTATATTTTATGCATTTTTGTGTGTGTTCATTCTGCAATACGTTTCCGTCTCTTACTCGTCTAAAGGTAAAGTCAATTTTCTTGGAAAAACTTTTACAAGGAGAGAAAGAAACTCTATAAATATGCTCTGTCATCTACATACTTAATACAACTCGGTGCCTATGCATGCATGTATGGCATGGCATGGCATGGTATGGTATGGCATAGTATGGTATGTGCTAATATTGCAGCCTTTACCTATGTATAGAGTATGTTTGCATTTATAAATTGTTCTTGGTTTTTGGAAAATTTTCCATTGAGCTAACATTGATGTTTTTATTGCCTTACGGGTTAATGTGCCATCACTGATCTTTTACGTATGAATAATTTTTCAAATTTAAATAAAATTTCCACGTACATACCTATGCAAAAGATAAGACAATGAATGAATGGGAAAAAATTTCGGTTAGATTTTGTTTAAAAAGTAAGGCAGCAACAGAAACAAGAATCGAAAAATCAAACTAAAACCATAGAATGAACGGAAACAAATAAAATCAATGAATTACCGATTATACGAAAAACGAAATGCAGACAAAACAGTCTACGAAAATATGATAACAACTTAAGCCATGTTCCTTTAATCTTCATCCTTTCTCTAACTCTCTTTGTTCTAACTCTCACTTAGGGAATATAATAAAATATTAATTCAATTTGCTTCTGATAACATAACGTTTAACATGCTTCGTTCAGTTCGCTTTTTATTCGAAATATTTCGAGTTGGAAAAATCAATAAAAAATTTTCAGCTTCAGTTTAAAAAAAGTGACTGCAATCCATGAGCTAAACAACTTTCAAAATGTTCAAGAGGTATTTAGAAAGGTTTTATTATAGTGTAGTATACCGTACATGACAAGGGATTTCTGCAACACCCACAACGACTTGAGATAGTCTTTTTTTTTTCTTGCTACCGACCAATTTAAATGTGGCTTTAAGATTGTCTGTCCTTCTTCTATTTGTGCGGTCAGCCCCCAAATTGTTTAGATCTTTTGATGATGCTTGGTGAACCCACGAGTTTTTGGCCATAGGTGAAAACTATTGAAAATGTTTCAGAGCTGAACACATTTTTTAGCTGCTCCCATGCAACATATTCATATGAAAAGGTACTATATGAACACATGTATTAAGCGAAGTAATGTAGGCTGTTTCCTTGCCACATTGTACTTGATGTTTTTTTAAATTTGTTTTTTTTTATTTTTTTTTTTTTGTTTTCAAAAGTCCTTAAAGCAACGTTTATGAAGCAGAAAGTTACTTGAGTATTTTTCTATCCTTTACAGACATATCCATGTGAGAAATTCTAAGTTGATCTGTGAATTTCAAGAGAGAATTGATTGCGAAATATCTGAGATTGAAGCTATCAACACGTGTTAAATTTTTGCGAAACAAAATTTTGACTATAAATTTCTAAAGATTATTTCAATTCTTTATAAAATTATAAAATCAATACCAAGCTTTGCTTTGACTTGCCGAACACGTCGTATAGTTGCGGATTGTGTTTGCCTGAACGTCTCTTGTACATATATATCCTATCGTTGTTTCTTAAGCACCAAATATGTAAATATCAAACCGGAATTTTCATATATTATCTCATGTTGCGCTTCTTCACTTTGTATTAAGGTATAATGAAAAATATTTTCACATATTAATCGCATTCTTCTACTTCTAGTAGGTATGCAAATATGAAACCGGAATTTTTATATACAAAATACACGTTTATTGTATGAAAATGAAAATATCATTGAAATTTCATTGGAAGTACTGCCTCTCGCTAGCTGTACTTTTTTCCCTTTTCGATAGTTGGTAGATGCCACGCCTTTAAAGAATCTTTCCTTTCGCTGTGAACCATTCATCGAGTCATTTTTTTCCACACTTTTTGGACGAACCAACGCTTTGCTTAACAAGTGCGCGACCCATCATTGTATTATTACTAATGCAACAATCTGAACGGCTCGAGCTTGTTGAATAAACCTTATGACGTAGCACTTCACTGTAGTGTGCTTTCAACGTATCGTGAACTGGTCCTGCAATGTGGACTCATAGACGGATGAGACAGCGCTTGCTTTCCTTTTTTCGATATTCTGTTCGTTTGTTGAACAGAAAACCGTTCGAATTGATTTGTTGCTGTTAGCAGCGTTTAGTATTAACCGTTAAAACAGACATTAACAGAAAGCATCCTTCTAGTCCTGCCTAACGCAGAATATCGTGGCTTATCATAGCGATTAAGGCTTGCAGTCATGAAACAATTGTATTCTTTATAAGGCGCAATAATCCACATTTTCGCTTTTCTAGAAAAGGTATTTACGATATGTCTTGCTATTACAAATGCTTGTTGTTGTTCAAGTTGTAAAAAGACACAATTTTAGTCATGTGTATGTTCCATTGGTTAGGGATGACCACAGCCGAATTCCAGCTTCATACCTGATATTGTAGTCAGAATATATATATATATATATATATATATATTTACAAGTCCCTCGTAGAATAATTAGGAGAAACATAAAAATCTTATAAACTTTTTAATTGCAGGGTAATACAGCATTCGGAGTATATGCGCCTATATCCGATCTGTCAAGCCAATTATCACATCTTATTTGATTGAAAAGAAATTCATTAAATCTCTATGAAATTCTCAATGCAAACAAATCATTATTTCTATTGTTAATGTCTTTATCCAGTGATATTTATTCATTAAATTTAATTTCCAGCAGAATTATTATAGTTTTTCAACTCTTAAGTCATTTTTCTATATATTTTCTTTTTCATTTATAAAAATCATTAATTCATTAACTTAGCCATGTATTTGAAGCAACCACAACTTAATCACGTATTTCATTCTTTCAACTCTTCTGTATACAATCCCTAAATATATTGAATTTTCTTTTCTTTTTTTATGCACAAGGATATATTCCGCATTAAATGCTTATTTAAATCCACTTAATAAATTTTGTAACTTTTACAGACATTTCCTAGTTAGTAGTTTTCCAATATATTCAAAAGAGCCTTAAGGGAATTTTTTTTTTTTTGCAAAAGTTATTCTCTTCGATGCATGAAATTATTAAAGTGAAATAACAAACAAACAAAAAAAAAAAAAAAAAAAAAAAAGAGTAGAAAAGAAAAAACAGTGATTAGAAATAGTTGCTCGAATTACCCGAATGTATGCATATGTAAACTGTGTGTGCGTGTGTGTTGATATATGTGTTTATGTTTGTACGTGTTTTTTTGTTTTTTGTATCTGTGTATTGTAATACAATCTGCTTTTCATTATGATAAAAAGTTGCTGACTTTCACAAATGGCTGGTGGTTGTTGGTTTATTTGTTGCTTTCAAAAACTTTTCCAGCAAGAGTACCTGAGAGAATATATAAAATTTCTCTTTTTTTGGCATTTTCTTTTTTTGTCTATATTGAATACATTTTAGTTTTTATGCTCTAGACGAGTGATTTTATGAATGTAAGAATTGGCAAGGATTATATATTGCTGTATGTGTGATTGCATGTTTGAAAATATGCTCCTAGTCATAATTAATAATTATAATGAAAATATTATTACCCCTAACTGGATAACAGGATAATAATTGAAAATCATTAGGAACAAAAAAAAAAAGTATAATAGAAAAAGTTCTTTAGAAAACAATATACATAAGATATATAAAAGATATAATGGAAGAACTTTTTTAGAGCACGACAGGGGTTTGCATTAATTTTGATAGGCGACTTCGACATGAAAAAGTTATAAAGAAATGGCAAACACCAATGTAAGCAGCGATTAAATTCGATGGTTTTGACCTTTTCCTACCTAAAATAACTGTTCTCCATTTAATATTATCGAGCCATTCAAGCTATGCTCATGGTAGTCATGAAGCGCTCAAAATTTCATTTTAGACTTTGATTACTTTCTTTGTTCGATTTGAAAAAGTCTTGTGCTGAAGCTTACCAAACACTTTCCAAAGTTTATGGTGATGTTGTTCCATCACGGCCCCCCTGCTAATTTCGGTTTCAACGATTTAAAAGCGTTGATTTTGATGGCAATGACAAAAAGCGGCCTGAAGGATCAAAAATTATCAAAAATAATAAATTGTGAGAAATTATTGGACGAAAATCCATCTCAAATACTCTCTTGAAAAACTTTCCAACTTAGCTTAGCTAAAAGTTTTACATGTGATGGAAGAGATTCAAAAGTAAGAAAAAGGGCTACCGCGCAAATTGACTGGAAAAGCCATTTGCTGGTACTCGATTGGGAAACTTTGCCACCTCCAGCGCACTCAATAGAAATTGCGTCTTCCGATTATTACTTGTTCACATCGATACAATATGGCTTGGCTGGCAGGGGGATTCGCAAAGTTGAACAAGTGTGAAAATGGGATCGCCGCCAAACTCATATAAGTTCTTTTTATGGTAAAATATTCTAGAAAATGATCGAAAATATTTCGATTAATGTATATTCCACTAATAATCTCGGCTTCTTTCAAGTGAAAAAACTATCAAAATTAACGCAAACACATAATATATATCGGTGTCTATAAAAAAGGTTTAAGTCTCTCCATCATATTGTTAATAAGTTGGACGAGATCTTATTTACAGTTTTTTGCATGACTTAAAAATCTTTATTCTTAGTTAGTTAACTTACCTGCTCTCCATTTTACATTTATTGTCTCGCACTTTACAATGTGTTTTAAAGTCTTCGAATAATTTTAGGCATTTTCGTTCCTGTTGACACACCGACAAAGCATGATTACAGGTGGGCAAGGCATCGATAGGATAGGGATCCTTTTCAGCTATAAGACACAAGAAATTGCATTACTCATTACCTTATTAAAAGCTTAATCAAAGTGTAAACTATTAGGTGTGCAAATAAGTTTTCCGTATTGTTGATAAAATTCAAATTTACATAAAACATACTTAACATACAAGGCTAAATAATCCAAATATTCATCATCACTTTCTATGAGTTTTCGTCTCTTATCACTGAGGATAAAAACTTCGTGATTTTGCGCCAAAAATCTTTCTTACAACTTTTGTGACTCGCCGATCCCCTAAATATGACAGCGTTGACCTAAACTAGCATAGAATAAGCCTCAATTGGGCAAAATTCCTTGCTCAAGTTGAGTTCTTGTTTCTCTTTGCTGCGGATTTTAGCTGCTCTCTTCGATTACCCCATGGCGAAGTCCTCTTTCCCCCATTTGCATTTTTAATTTTTTTATTTAATTACTATTTTCATCACAAAAAAATGAACAATTAGACTTTTTTGGCATATAAGGCTTCATCTTTCATGAAAATCCTTATATGCGGTGGTATCCAAAAAATAGAGCTACGTGGTCCGGATTCGATAAGGTAGATTTCTTTGTCAATTTACTATAATGGGCCAATTTTCGCCATGAAATATTGAAAATTCGCCTTCTTTACTATATAAGGCCTCCATTTCGTAAGAAACGGTTATGTGGGAGCTGTTGCAAAAAACTGCCCCAAAGTTTTCACTAGAGCTACACAAATTTTTATTTGATTCATCCAGTGCAGTGTCTGGGTACAGCGCAGTCCCTAGGTGTAGCACAGTCGATAATTGCAGCGCTGCACTTCGACCGCTTCCCATATAAGAAATTATATCGTATCATCAGTCATATGTATAACTGTAGGGTTGTGTAGAGTATTTTATAGTATACTGCGACCCGCCAATATTATATTCAATATCCCTTTGTTATGACCAGCAATACTTGTGGTACAAAAGTTTATTAGGTGAGGATGTATGTCATGATCAGAAGGACTTGAGACAGATCCCGCGTTTGTTGTGCTGACAAATCATTTTCTAAACCTAAGCTGGGCTGATCGCCTATCTCTTTGTCCGTCTATCCGTCTTGTTTCTTTTGCTCAACCTATAGGCTCAACGTAATCGGTTGAAATGCCGAAATACTTCTACTTTTGTCAAGAAATTTTGAAAATTGCAATATTTCCCTATATAAATACCTTTCAGAATAGTTTGCTATATGTGAAGTGATCGAAAACGTAGACCGATCCACACCACTTTCAATAGCGCTCGTCCTTGCGTCAAAGCATGTCACTGTACCAAATTTCATTAAAATATCTCAAAAAATGCGACCTGTTGCTTGAACACAATGTTAGATGGGCAGACATCAGACGGACAGACAGATAAACAGGCTTAGGTAAATTTATATCATAATTCTAAATCGATCGGTATAATAAATCGAACTTAAGTCCTTCTGGGTGTTACATAGGTCCGCATTAATTTAATATACCCTGTACCACAGCTGGTGTAGGATAGAAAAATATCTAAGTAAATAAATGAAGTAAAGTTATTATTGGGCAATAATCATATCACTATAAGAAATAAGCCTTAATTCTCTTTTAATTACGTATTTATTTGAATAGTTTTTCGATTTTCGTTGGATATTTTGATTTTTAGCGCTTGCTGGAAACGAGAAAGTAAAAATGAGAAAACTGCTCGTAAAATCTAAAAAACTTCAATTGTATTAAATTCCACATTATTAATATCGACGAATTGAGAGCTGGGCTCATATTTGCTAAGCGAAAATTTCTTATTCGTTTTAGTTGACGCGCTCTGTTCGATTCGATTGCAGGTGTTTACGTACTACTTAAGTTATTAAGATTTAGTTTATTAAGATTTTTGGTGAAGGTTTTTAAAAAAGTATTTAAGAAATTAGTAAAATTATTACGAATCTAGAAAAAAAAAAAAAAAAATCAAAATTTATTTATTAAATCAATTAAATTTGTCCAGATCAATGTAATATATATACGGGTTTTTTCTTGTGCTAAAAGCAGAAAATTAATATAATATTGTTGCAGAGAATGAGTGATTGTCGTGAGGGCAAAGAGAATTCTGTAGTATGAGAGTATATTCTATCTGCATAAAATCTTTTCTTGCTTATAATGAGCTTTTGATTTTCAACACATTCAAAGCAATGAATACACATAGAAAGTTTAAAAGAATATGCATAAGCAGAGACAAAATTAAAAGAGAGAAAATTTTAAAAAGAGTAAATTTTACCGAATGATCTCGTAAAGAAATCCAAATTCGTAAACTTGGTACGAACGCTGACGAAGGCATGTCGTGTTCAATTTGTAGTTATTAACACATACATACAAAAAGCAGCAGCTAATAATGCATTGTTATTTTGCAATAATCGCACATAATACGATGCGACAGAGAAAAAACGAGAGGTAAGTGCTGATAAAAATAATAAAGTAGCCATTGAAGTAAGAAGCCAGCAAAAAAACGATACCAATTACAATCCACATATCGATTGTAGAATCCATTCGACTAAGAAATCCCGTTTTCAGCAGATTTTGCTAAACAGTTGATAACTAGTCGCATAGTCGAATTTGCCCCGTAATTCATTTTTATCATTTTCCATGAATCAAATCAAAACCGTTCGGGTATACTGAAAATACCGTTCGATTTATTCTTAATTTTACCTGGAAACCTTTCGACTATCGTTCTCAAGACTTGACACTTTTTACACGAACTCTTGCAAACCGCTCACTAACTGTTTGACAACTTACTGTGGGTTTTCAGCCCAAGTTAACTTAATCATTTTCGTTGCTTCAGCTACATTTGTTTCCCGTTTATATCAAGTAACGTGGAGTACCGCAAATGTTGCTTGCTGGCATCCATCTCTTTACACATAGTGCTAGACAGTGAACGAGAGCTAGTAAGCAAAGCTTAAAATTATACTTCACAAAAACCGATACCCAAGCTATGCATAACCGAAACAACGAAAGAAGGTTCCCGTATGTTTTATCAAATTGTTAATTCCAACACAGAGAATTTATACGTAAACGCTATTCCATTTGATACCAAGCATTTACTAAAGTTCGTTGCCTACTTTTCGGTGTCGTATGTATGTATTAAAAACTTTTTTTTTTATTTATTTATTTATTTATATTATTTTTGTTATTCTTGGTTTTCCAAGTTCCCTTACTATAGTGTTTTCAAACAAGAAAAAAAAAAACAATTTTCAAAAGCTTTATATATATATATATATATATATATATACATATATCGAGGTACTTGCAATAATAAAAATTAGAAAAATCAACCTTCGGCAGAGAGTTAAGCAATGAAAAGTAGATTTCAAAGAATTGTTTTTTGCATTAATGTATGCACAGATACACTGTGTAAGGTAAACACTTTACACAATCAAAATATTGTATATAGTTCCTGTTTTTACTTAAGAACATAAGCATACATTTTCACATATAAAAAAAAAAGAAGAAAATAAATAAAAATAATAATAAAAAAAGGATAGAAGAAAAAAAAAAAACGAGAAGAGAATACTTAAGTTATACTGTTTCCTGTAACCATTGTTTGTTTTATATTGTTTTATAAACAAACATACAATACAGTAAACTGTAGAAATCTTACGCGTTTGAATAATGTAAGAAAGACAGAATAGCAAGCAGCAAGCCATTGAGAAAATTTACGAAAGCTTTAAGACGAATCTTGAATACCATCGCCAAAAAGACCGGCAAGGAAATTTTTCGTTCTTATCTCTTTTTGCAAAGAACTAACTGTTCTAACGACAGTCGCTAAGTATTACGAAATGATCAGATGAATTCAAATGTTGAAGGGCTTACATTTTCATCTTGCCGGACACTGCGTGTTAGTCTTATAATAATTCCAAATTTAAAGAAATTTTAGTTCCTTTAAAGAATGCCACGAAGGAACACTAATTAGCGTAGTGAGATCAGTTTTTAAGAGTGTTACGCAAACAATTTTTCGGATAACATCTATAATTCTATTACTGATTGTGAATATTGCAGAGCTTAGAAGAGCCTCCTAGGACCCGTCATTAATATTTGTAATAAGTTTTAAATCGACATCTATTGCAATCATTAAGCCACTCTTCATCCTCTGTTTAATGGCTGTAAGTCACGCTCTGATTCTAATTGTGATTCTGGTACCCTTTGTCTTTTCAACTGCTTTTGGCGCGCTTCCTAGCTTAACTCAACTCAACTCAATTTGGATTTAATTCTTCAAATCTATCGATCGCGAAAATTTCACTAAAGACTATTGGACGGACAGACATTACATTCACAGGTGCTTACAGCCTATTGTTAAAAACCTTAGACCACTTTGCTCGATACCGTTATTCACATACTGACTTTTTAAAATAAGGCGTTATAAATGAAGTGAACCGGTCCGAACGATTTTCAATAGCATCTGTCCTTGGGACAAAAAAAAATTCACTAATGCATCTCAAAAACTCCGAACGATCGATTGAACAGATTAATTGAAAAGACAGCTAGACATGTTTATAAAATGTTGGGTATATCCTAAGGCCCCTTTTATCACAAGCGGTGTAGAATATAAACAAGTAAATTATTAAACAAAAAAAAAAAAAAAAAAAAAAATTAACCATATCGTGAAAGTTTTCTCATACAAAATCTCTCTTATATTTAGTGCATTTTATTGCTTTTTGTAGCGGTACATAAGCGTACTTAAGAAAGAAAACGTTTGTTGATTTGTTTGTATACAAAAGAGTTGTAAAATTTCTAATGCAAACTATTTCGAGGTAAATGTAAATGCAAAGTAAGTAAAGTACGTAACGAGATGGAGAGTTTATTGTTATCTTTAAGTATAACACTTAATATCATCTGCAATCATCTTATAAGTTAAGAAGAGCTAAAATGGGAAAAACAATTACTTACCCTTTTTTAGTACAAAGCCACAAGGATGATCAAATAGGAAATCACGAAAATGATTACAATCAGGATCCATGCCGGGCTCTTTGCACAAACATGTTGGACGAAAGAATTGAAAAGCCTGTAATGTCCTTAAAGCTGCTTGACATTTTGTTACCGTTACCGTACTGCACGATACTGTTTGCGAAATGAAAATACAAAGCATTGACATATAATTAAAAATTTTTAATGAAAACTGACACAACAATATTCTGAAATTTTCTTTGTGAAATAAACACATATGCATGTGCATATCTATATGTATGTATGTATGTATGTATATATGCATGTATGTATATATGTAAATATTTATATATGCGTATATGAGTATCATAAAAATTCCAATATTGTCATCATAAATAAAATCCACGATGATGACATTATACCCCATAAAACTTGTACGCATATTCGCCTTTATTTGTTATTACAGCTACATTCTGACCTAACGAAAATAAATAAAACGTAAAAAAAAAAAACAGAAAGAAAAAAAAATCACATATCAATATACGCTTTGTCCATTTAAATTTGTTTGGGTATTAGTAACATTAGCACATTCATGGATTTTATCGAAACCGAAAACAAATATAATCAACGCGTTGTTGTCAAACACACAAACATAGGAAATGACACAATAGGCTTATCATAAATTATTATTCAACATAATTATGATGCGTTCGTTGCTCTTTATAAATTAGTTTTTCTACGCATACTACAGTGTTTTTCAATTTATGGCATTCTAAGCTTTTCCTCATTTTTTGTGATCCTAAAAACCCATTAAGCTATCATAACTGAAAAGTATCACCTGACTTGTGTCAATTAATAGTGTGTACCGATCTACAGATTCTCCTCTATTGGGCAATACCTCGTTGCCCTCGACATGGGAGCCATGATCGCGGCTTAGCGTTCTTCAATCGTATTGCCCGTTTTTAGAATAACCTTCCAGCGAGAATCATCTTTCCCACCGTTCCCGATATTTCCACTTTCGAGTCGAACTTCCTTCCCTTCTCTCTCTGTCTCTACCCATAATCCCCCGAGACCGCCACCACCTTACCCACACGTACAGGGGACATTCTCGAACGGCTTCCGTTGTAGCAGTTAGAGTATTTACTCAATTGCTTTGTCCTTGTTTGCTATTTGTTGGAAAAGCTTACAAAATAGTCAAATATTTCTTTGGTTCGAGAGAAACAAACTCCAGGTTTGTTATCTGCCATTTTTTTCTTGGAACTAATGACTTAACATTAGCTACAATTTTATTATAGGTTCCCTCGAAATTTCAATTTTCTAGCAATGTGTGCTAGAACACATAGTCCAAATTTGAAAAGGGAGATTGTAATAATCTTAATGTACAATTTATAGGCCCTTTTCAAGCATTACTATAGAATCGATCGGTTCGGAGCGTTTCGATTGAGTGATATATTTTACACCTAAGTGAAGAAAAGCAAGCTTTCTTTTATCGCCCATAGATCCCCAATTAGATTCTTCACGCATTCCGCCGATAGCCGTTAGGGACAATTTTTGGACCGCATCTGCAGGTGACGAATATCTGAGAAGTGCCTTTACGGAATTGGAAGCTACAGACAAAAAGAAAAAAAAGAAATTGCCCATGTTGTTCCACGCTTGTCTAAGATGCTTCCGTATTGCGAGTACTTGTATGGATAAATCATGCCCATTTCTTAATTACTTCTTCTTCTTCTTACTTCTTCCATATGTATAATATCCACACCAAATATCAGCTTACTATTTTTATTCCTGCAATTATGGGGATTCCACATAATTTTGGGAATCAAATTGTTCCACTTTTGAAAAAAATTCACCCATCCTCTCTTAGTGTGTCCTCGCAATCCCGAAAACTTAATAAAGCAGATAGAAAAGAAATTGTCTTCGCCTACGTTGGACTTTTGAAAGTATGTAGACCATGACGGAATTAAGTAATGAGAAATGGGGGATTTTTCCACATTGGCACGGGAAAAATTTTTTACACTGGCGATAGCTTTCTTTCTCGTTACCTTTTGATAGAGATCAGTAGCCGACTTCTGAAGACGATACCATACGTTCAGATATTTATATGCAGATTTATTGATTATAACTAGAACACATTCAAGTCCACAGTGCCCTCTATAATTTTGTATATACAAAAGAATAATGAACGCGAATATTCAAAACAAAAGAAAAAACCGTTGTATTAAGTTCCACAAGAAATTCATTTCCAATCTTTTGATTCATATCACTAGCTTGCACGCATTATATGATTATTAAGATGAATGATAATTACGACAAAGATACATTGATTGTTAAGGATAATGTACGCATATCGTATATCATATATATTTGGAATCATAGTTTTGCACGATTTGACAGCACTTTGCAAGTAGTTTTATATTTTACTTTTTGTTGACAATTGATACGAAAAATTTTATTAAGTAAAAATATAAGAAAAGTTGAACATGACTAAGTCCTTAATTTACCGAATAATTTCTGATAATTGCAACTGGGCTCTGTGAGCGATTTAGATAATTTTCATAGTTAATCTCAAGAGAGTAACCAACAAATAATTTTAGATTTATGATTAGCTTTAATCTGCTAAAGGTATGGGTTCTTAAGTGCTACTTTGGCAGACATACGGACAAATTTAATAATTATAAAGTCGTTGCTATTTCGGTTGATGACATCTACATAAATGTATATAATATTGATAATAGAATTTTTTTTAGTTTTAAATATTGCTTGTTTTTGTTCCCTCTTCTTCTTTTATTCTCCCAGGCGCTCCCTGTATGTATATATACAAATATTCATCTCCGATAAACGTTACTAAAATTTAAAAATATTTTGCAAAACTAATTCGTAGGCATAAATCTAAGCATAAACCGGCTGGGTTTCCAAAAAAAGAAAAACAAAAATTTTGATAAAATCATCCAACTGGCAATTTGACAATTACCAAAAAAAAACTAGATGATTTCCATATTATTTAAACGAAAAAGTATTGAGCCTTCAGCAAATCACCATTCGCCCATTTACATAATGCATATCCCCGCAGCTTGCTGTTGATGTTATTATTATTATAAGGCTTACGATTTCTCAGACTAGAGAAGAAGAAAGGCGACGGTAGCGATATTGGGATCGAGATGAAAATTATTTTCACGTAAACGAAAGTTTTACGTTTTTCCAAACTTTACGCTGCACATATCTCACTTATGCAGCGACTACTGTAAAGCCGCATAGGAAGTAATTCGCTTATATATTATTTGTAATTTTTTGAAAATTTTATGCAAAAATTCCAACATGTGCACAAAACAGGAAAAAAAAAAGTGTTCATTAAATTAATGAAAGCCTAATTAGCAATTTTGCTATTATATCGCTGGCATGAGTGTGCTACTAAAGCCGCAAACTAATTGCATTTACTATAACTACATAACGTTATTCTTTATATCATGTTTTAAAAAATGTTGTTCAACTTTCCTATTCGGAAGGCACTCTTCGAACAGATTTGTTATTAATTTTTCACAACTTTTCCTTTAAGTTAAAGAAACCTTTCAAGAAAGAACATATCCACCAACTAAACTTAAAGTCAAGAATGCACTTTTGATGTAGTTTGAAAGAACGCAAGAAACTTATGATCAAAGAGCAATGCTACGGTAGTGTTGTCTATTTATTGTTAACCGGAAGTAACGACAAAACGAACACTCCCGAAAGAAAATATTCCGTAAACGGCCGAGATTTTTTTTACTTAAAGAAAACTTCAAAATATTCATTAAATGCTTTCTACTTCATGTCGGTCCAGCATTTACATTCGCTGAGGCTGCTATCAAAATTTTCAACTACTTTCCCTACACTACGTTCCGCGCTTTTTTATACCCCCCACTGAAGGATGGGTATGGGGATAGGGATGTATACTCATTTATTTTAATGTTTACAACAACCAAAAGGAAGCCTCAGAGACCCTATAAGGTATACCACGTGAAATTCTGAAATGATTAAGCCATGTCTGTCCGTCTGTGTCATGTGTTTTGTTAGTAATCTCTTGTTCGCAAAAATGAAGATATCAACTTAAAATTTGGTAGAAACATTGAAAATTTTTGCATGGAGTTTCGCATTGAAAATGGGCCAAATTGGTCGAAGCACAAGCACCTGGCGATGGGTAACTGAACGCAACTCCGTGCGGGTTTGCGGGTTGAATGGATGCACATTTCTCCTATACCTTTCCCTCTCTTCGCTGCTTTGGGATCGTTATCAAGTGGGGGAACGGCTGGTACAAAATTAAAAAGGAAAAGAAAAACCTACAAGTGACAATTTTTCACATGATTGATTAAATTTGAAACCGTGATGAGTATTGGCCCAAAAAACACCGCCGTTAAAGATGGGTCGGATCAAACCATTTTTCCGAATACTTCCCACGTTATTTTCATTCAATAAATTCATTATAAGAATGATTGTAGTGGTGTAGGATATTTAATAGTGGGCCCTAGTCCACCATTGTGCTCTTGTTTGGGTTTACTGATAAAAAGGTCTTTAAATGACTTTTTCTCAAAAAGTGGAGTTACACCACTTTAAAACAAATCGGCTTTTATATGTACATTAAATAGTGTATAACATATGTGCACATTAAGTGAAAGGCAAAAGAAAGAGAAATAGATATGTCTATGCTTCACTTGCCAAAACGATTAAGTCCCCTTTCTTAGTTTATTTTTTTTTTTTTCTTAATTTGAATATCAAAGCATTTGATTGACTTATGAAGAAATTTTTACATATAATATTTTTTATTATTACGCTCTCGTTAAGATATTCGAAGACGTAAAAAACTTTCAAAGCGAAGGATTATGTAAAAAGGGGAAAATCAAAGGGAGCACATAAGACTTACTTCATTTTTTATTTAAGAAAAAAAAAAAAAAATTGAAGAGCCGCAGAAGATATTGTGACGGAACGCATTTACCAAAATTGGTTCGGGAAAGTTTCAGTAAAAGCTTTATCACGTTCTAATAGGCCAAATACGATTGAAAGCTGAACGACACAGCGCTCATCGATTCATAAGATTGCAGAAAAACTTAATTCACCCAAAGTAATGAGTTTACTCCATATTTAAAAAAAAAAAAAAAATTTAGTTTATTTCGTAGTGAAAAACCACAAGAAATTCCCGGACTACCTAATAGTTGTGAGTAAAACTAAAAATAAAAATTAAAATTATATCAAAGGACATTGGCCGATATATAGTATATTTTCGGACATATTAGCAAAACTTGGATCATGAATAATTCATCGCTGATTCATTTCGTTCTTGATCGATTCAAAACAATATACTGATAAACTAAATTTGAAGTAAATAATGC